TGAGAGCAATGTCTCCTCTGTGGGATTTTCAAAGGCAAAACCCAAATCCTGTGTAGTAGTCCCATGGGCTGTGTCTGCCCGGGAGTGGCAAGCCAAGACCTGTGACCTTACCAAATCCTCCCTTTTCTTTCAAGGAGGGAAACGGGTGCCCAAAGTCATGGAGCAAAGTGTGCCGGATGGTGAAAGGCGTAACTGTGTGTATATGTAACAAGACCACACCGTTTTTCATGAAAGAAATGAATATGCACACATGTGTACTTCTGTACAACTTTGGGTAATATATAATTTTAAGCTGTTTACAAATAACATGTAATGCTTCAAATATTACATAATGTTGATAATACATTTCTAGCAGAAATAAATATATTGCACTTAAAAAGAACTTTGTTAGATGTTACTTCATAGTATTAGGCTTATAACTTCTTTTTTTCCATAAAACATTTCCCATGCCCTCCCCCCCACCCCCACCCACACGCACACAGTTCATTACAGTGACTGCTTTCACGCAATTCATGAAGCAAATGAGCACAGCAAACAACAGGCCGGTGAGATGCTCTCCTAAAAAGGATAATTCTTTTTTTCTTTTTTTTTTCCTTTAGGAAATCAAAGAGTTTTTGGGGGGAGTTCTGAAACTAATAAAAAAAAACAACAACAACAGAAAAACAAAACAACTAAATACACTATTATAATGTACCAGAAGTAAAATACAACAAACTGTATTTTTTGTCCAGATGTAGCATTTCACCAAACTGTTTTTATTTTCGTATTGCCAGGGGTGAGGGGGGTGGAATTACTTAAGGCATGGACAGAGGAAGAAGGGCCGGAAAATACCTGGGGAGTCTCTGCCTGTCAAACATTTGTCAGTGAACCTTTGCACATATAAGCATGCTGAGGAAAGGTAAGAACTGGACTGTTTTATAACTGGCATGGAATGAACAGTAGTGAAGAAAGCATTTTGATTTTCCAAAGTGAGTTTGGAACCTTCCCTTTGCTTGTTTACATAAAATCCTTGCATTCTGAAATCATACAGAAATGTATAAAATCCAGCATCCACCCCAGTGGGATTCTCCAGAGGAGCGGCTGAATTCCATGCAGGGCTTTCTTTTTGTCTAGGCCATCTAGATTTAGGGTATAGCCCTCGCTGGTTTGGCTTAGTAGATAGAGCATTGGCCTGTGGACTGACGGGTCCCAGGTTCCGTTCCAGTCAAGGGCATATGCCCAGGTTGTGGGCTCGATCTCTAGTAAGAGACATGTAAGAGACAATGATTTTCTCTCATCATTGATGTTTCTCTATCTCTCCCCCTTCCACTCTGAAATCAATAAAAATATATTTTTAAAATGTTTATGGATTTAGGATATAATATTGTTATCCTGGTGATAATTATCAAGTGCATACATGTTTAATCATGAAAACAGTTCTCCTTATCTAGTGAAGGGAAGACTGGGTAAAAAGAGGGTTTTTCTTACAACATGTGACCCTGCACATTGCATAGCCAAAGTTTTAAACTTGAGTTACCGAGTCATGGCGAAGCTAGTCTGCCTCACTAATGGGTGGTGCAGTCACTCCATCCACTTTATTGGAACCTTATTTTCTCCATATAATTCAGCTTAAATACAAGCAGGATGGCCTGAAAGGCAAGTGAGAACTTCAGGATGGGGATAACTACCCTAACTAACATCTTTCGGAAAACTCAGAGGCAGAATGGGGTGAGGATGCTTTACCTAAGAACACTCATTTCTTGGGCTTTTATAGGATTTCCTTTTTCTTCTTTGGGAGGGGCTGGGGTGTTGTTCAGTGATAGATATGGATTGGGGTGGGGGTGTCTCCCAATCTGTGGGACTCCGTATCAGAGCCCCACAGCAGAGTTTTGTTAGATGATGAGTCATGAGGACATTTTGTATCGCTCCTTCTGGGTGCCCACTCACCAGGAGCGGGGGTACACCTCCTGGACAACGTACCATTGCTATCAACTCAGAGAGACCGGCAATGAAATATAAACCCCTTACTGTAGGCCTGTGGCCCTGTAGTTTGGGATGTACTAGACACAATCTGAATGTGTGTGTCTTCATAGTGCTAAGGGTGGGCAGAGGGGGCAGGGGGGATTTACTAAGTAGAATAAATAACAGAACTTAGAGTTATTGATAAATGCTTTCAAAACAAATCGCAGATGCAGGCCCTACTAAGCTATGAATTCGTTTCTTTGGACTCAAACAGCAGTTGAGACTGGGCCTCCTTCTATCAGCTCTGACATTAGCCATGCTTTTGATTCCCTAGGGGAGACCTTGAACTGACACCACATAACTCCTGCTCTTTCTTGTCCAACTGGCATTCCATGATCTAGTTCTTGTAATGACTTTCGGTAAAATACACTTAACCATCTTAAATCTTGAACACCCAAGGAGTTAAGTAAGAATCAACAACCTGAAAAGCTCCTAGGTCTCAGATGGGCTGAACGCCTACCCTTGGTTCCCATGGCGATAGTGACTGATGGGTGGAGCTCCATGTCCCTTGTGCTTTTTTTTTTTTTTTTCTGGTTCAAACAAAACCCCATACTAATACATCCCATTTAATAATTCAGACGTGACTTTCCAATAGCATGTCTTGCTGTCTTAGTCTTCTTATTGGTAGTCTTATTGCTTGATTACCAAGGAAAGTTATGAAGTCAGGAAATACTGGTATAAACCCATATTTAACAAAAATATGCACCCTCCTTAGAGACACGCCGATTAGGAAAAATGTCAACATAGTATTAAAATGACCCTTTCCTTCTCGCAGAAAGCAAAGTCCAGGTTCGATTTCCTCCAGCAGACCAGCAATCTGCCAGCGTCTTGAGTAGCATCATGTAAAATAGCATCTACTTCTGCTGTTCCTGCTGGAAGCAGCCACTGTCTTCAAAGGAGCCACTGGCAGCAGGCCAACTATTAAATACCAAACCCCCATCCTAAGTACAATGGCTATTGAAACATTACTCATCACGGCTTTTCAAAGGAAATGCACACTGCGCTGTGCAAAAAAAACTACCTGTGGAGATGAGAGCAGAGCATGCTGGGAGCTGTACGCCAGCCACAGGACCCAGATGCTGGGTGGCCTCAGCCCATGCTTCTCCCTCTGTAACTTGGGGACTGCAGGGAACGGCCATGGCAAAATCCAACCACAGCATCCCACGTACCAGCTGTGCCATCTCGCCTCGTCTCATGAGCTGCAAGCGCCCGAGAAGAGCATTTGACGTGGCGAGGCCTCATGTGGGAACAGCCCACTGAACCCCCAGGGGCGTCGGAGGTGGTGAGGGTACTGTGTTTGCTCTGAAACACACCTCTACGCTCTGCAGCAACAGTCCCCATCACTTCGAACAGAGTCAACACTTTTGCAGTCAGGTGGAGTAAAATGAGTATGATGTAGAACATTTAAATTCCATTAGAATAGAGTTTGGGGGAGCTTGGTGAAGGAGACCGGGTGTATCCCACAGCTAACGGCATTGTATCTAAAGCTAATGGTCTATCAACGTCATTAAATGTCTGCGATGAGGGTCACCAATGGTTGCAAAATACCAACTGTCCTACCCCGACCGTAACTATTTGGATCTATGTTGCCTCAAAGTAATAGAGAGGATATACATAACTGAAATAGAATGAGTTACTCTTCCACGTCAGAGGGGGGACAGAGGAGATAGCCAGAGCTGGAAAGGGAGTGGACGCGTGTCTAGATTCACTCCTAAGCGATGCTTCCGTCAGGGGTTTATTGGGCCACATGTGGTTTCATATGGACAGGCTGGGAATGTGGGCAGGGAGACACTGAATGCAGCATGAGGAGAAGGGCAGGTGAGGGGGTGGGCATCTAACTCCGTCTGAGCACAGGCTTGCCGGGGGCTACCCAGGCGCTCAGGTCGGTCCCTGGCAAATCCCTTCCCTTGCCGTGGCAGCTGGCCCAACCATAGGGCAGAGCCACCCACCACACGTGAGAGTGTGGCGGTGCCTGGTGACCTCCTCAGAGCCTCCCAATACCGAGTGCAGACGGGGGGGCTTTGGCACCCGGGGCACAGACGTGCCTTCCAGACAGGACCGCCAGCTCTTGATCACCGCTCAGGGGATGGGGTGCCCAGTCCCCCCGGAGCCACTGGAGAACACCCCAGCAAGGACATCAGTGGTAAAAACCAAGCCCCCGACTTACACTGTCACACACACAGCCTCTGGCTTCCAAACCTCGTTCAAAAGGGTCTTCCTACCTACAGGGCAGGGATTTGCAAGGATGGAATGAGGAAGCAAGAAGACAAGACGGTGATGAAGTGCCCGCCAGGCCCTGGCCCTTGGTTATCACAAAAAAAAAAGGCGCAAAGTCATTGCCAACAATTACACACATCAGGAGGATCATCCACTGATGGCGGCGCCTCTCCCAGCAAGCGACACACATCAAACCCCAAAATGCCCACCCAATAGCACCCGCAACATTCCCCCCAGCCCAGCTCCTGCAGGGAGAGACGGGCTCCCAGTCCTTCTGTGAGATGCTGCGGTGCTAGGCAACCTGGCCTCCGAAGACTCTCCTAACCCCCAGGAAGCAGGAAGCAAACCTAAACACTGTGATTTCATACATGACAGCATGGACGCGGTGTCTTCCACCCCTAGGGATAATGAGGAAGCAAGAAGATGCATCTGTAAGATGCATCTGCCTTGTGTGATTCAACTGTCTGTTGCGGAAATGGGCACCCTATCAGCTGCAGAACTTAGGCTGGATGAGACCTGGACACCGATTCTTTCTCAAACCCAAGAGCCCCCTTCCCCCCCCCCCCCCCCCCCCCGACACACACACACAGCTCCAGATGAATCCTGGTCCATGGTGCGTTCCCTTGGGCTTCGCTGGGAGTCCAGCTCTCCTCCTCAATAGATCAAATGTCTCCTGGAGATCCCTCACGCCAACCCTCCCCTCCCACCCTACCCCCAGAGCCTGTCCTCAGCTCCATACCCACTCGCACACTCGGGGTCGGGATCTCCTGCTCTCAGAAGAGTCATACGAAAGGCGTCATCACAGCGGAGGAGTGGCGCAGTCCCTGGATGGCGGCGTAGGGGCCCTGCTGGAAGTAGTGGTGGTACCGGGGCATGTGGAAGGAGGGGAACGTGGGGCCGCTGCCCTGCATGGAGCTGGCGATGGCCGAGGGCGTCAGGGGCATGCCCAGGCGGCTGTAGGGCGGCAGAGAGCCCTGGATGGGGTGAGGAATGGGCGTTGCTATGGACGCTGTGCTGGTGCCCAGAGCCGTCAGGGACTGTGGGTGCTGAAATCCGGGGAAACTGGACGAAGACGACACCCAGGAGCTGAGAGACAAGTTGTCGGATGTGGTGAAGGCCGACCCTGGAAGGGGGGACAGCGCATGAGACGGGAAACTCGACATCAATGTGCAAATCGAGACGTATACATGGTGTCCCCAAAAAGTGTATGCGTTCACTGTAACAGCTGGCAGCTCACTTTTAAAAATGAAATATGTGTTCATAATCACTGTCTTAATAATGATTCAAAGTATGTGTATATATTTTTGGGACATCCTTTATTATTTATCTGTAAGGATCATCGTTTCTTATTTTAAGAAATACGTCATAGATCTATAATCCAAAAAAGACAAACCTGTTGACATGAGGCGAATCTACCTTTCTAGATGCAAAATCATGTATTGCATACTTGGAACAGGGAATTTCCTAAGTAGATAAGGACAGCTCCTCAGATGGCCCGCATCCTCCCGGAAAGCAGCCAGACCTCCGCAGCCACCTGCAGGGCAGGGTCCGGTTTGCTTCGGAGGAGCTGCAGGGAGCTGACACCTGTTGGAATCTCCTCCGAGGCCTCCCCGTCAGGAGGGCTGCACAGGGGTGTCTCCCAGAGCTCCCGGGTCTCCAAAGCCTTTGAGAGAACCCATGTGAGCGTTTCCTTTTTTTTTTTCTTCATCTTCCACTGTTCTTTCTTAGCTATTGGACAACGTACAAAGTAACTTTTTCTTACATGACAGCATCCGGATGCCTCAAGGAGAGTGGACGTTAAATTTTCCCACCAGGTAATTTCTAGTTGCGTATGTGGGTATGGTTTTAAGAGATGTCCTGTGTTTGGACGGAGTGTGCTCCTTCTGAGTGATGGACATAAAAAACATGGCAGAGGGCGCTCTGTCCCTGCAAACACCCCGTGCCCGGGGGCGGGCGCCTCTGGTCTCCCAGGTGCAGAAGGCTCCTCCCTGGGCCTTTGGACAGAGGAACTTCCAATCTCCCCTTCTCCTCCCCCTGGGGCCGCTGCCTCCCCATAATGCCCTGCACTGGGAGACCAGAATCGAGGTGCCCAGCCCGGGCACAGGGGCATTTGCAGTGACAGAGCACCCTCTGCCATATTCTAATGACATTTTTTAAGTGTTTCCCATCTTAGTCATTATCCTCCCAAGGTATCCCTGACCTGAGGAGGACAGACTTTCAGATTATAAAACTGAGGGTCAGGCAGACTAAGGGCCTGCCCCCCAAACCTTCCAGCTCTTTGCTTAGGAGGTCACAGACAGGTAACTAGGAGGCTCGAGATTCTTCTAGAAAAGATCCAAAGCCCAAGAAAGCTTCTGGCAGCAGCATCGAAGACTTTCAGAGAGGAAAGGACAGAAAGAGAGGGATAGAAACATCCATGGTGAGAGAGAATCATCAATTGGCTGTCTCCTGCACGCCCCCTACTGGGGATTGAGCCCCACAACCAAGGTACAAGCCCTTGACTGGAATCGAAGCTGGGACCCTTAAGACTCAAGGGCAAAATACTGAACTCTGAGCCCTCAGGGGCTGTCCCTTCCTGAAGGGGCTCCTGAGATACTTTGGGGCCAAGTGTACCCCAAGGTCAAGGTCTCATCCCATGCCTGCCTCTCTCCCTTAGGCTCCAGGCATGGGGCTCCCAGCAGCTGCAGCTCGGAGCATCTTACCTCGGGTTTGTGCTGTCTGCACCTCGTCCCCCAGCACGTCCTCCTCTCCGTAGGTGCGGATGGGCGAGCGGGCGTAGGAATGCTTCTGAATGAGGCTCTCCACACTCTCCCTGCGGAGACAGCAATGTGCCCAGTGAACGGAAAGGCGGGTACCCGGGGAGCAGAGGGGTCTCACAGACATTTACTATGAAGATCAGTGTCTCAGCCAAAAGACCTCCTTCCGGGAAAGGGGACACGCAGAACATTTACAAATGATCCCACTGTAGAGCAGTGGAGACAGCTGTGAACAAAACTCAACAACCCAGCCCTAGCTGGTTTGCCTCAGTGGATACAGCATCGGCCTGTGGATTGAAGGGTCCCAGGTTCGATTCCAATCAAGGGCATGTACCTAGGTTGCGGGCTCCATCCCCAGTAGGGGGCGTGCAGGAGGCAGCCAACTGATGATTCTCTCTCATCATGGATGTTTCTCCCTGTCCTTTCCTCTCTGAAACAAATAAAAACATATTTTTAAAAAACAAAAACTCAAAATTTCCTCTTTCCATTTGAGGCACATACACTGCTCAATCCGAGCATTCGGCTTGAAAGCAGACTTTAGCATCTGCTCGACACACACACGAAAAGTCATTTTCTGAGCAGCACAATGCATCACCGCCAGTGAAATATGGGGTTTTCCAGCAGAGGCGTGTTGTACTCATTTTGTCCTTGGTAGACCACGGGTATCGTTGCTTATTCTCATGTCCAGGAGGGCAGGGAGCAGAAGAGATTTACTTGTGCCGGGCCAGAGAGAGAACTGCGAGCAGTGGCAGTTCTTATACAAAGGACGGCCTAATCGAGTTATTGCCTTTTAAGTGATTGAAAACAGCGGTGCATATCAGGGCCATCTCCTCCAAGATGCTACGAAGAGTAGACAGCCCTGGCTGTTTATGTCTAACCCCTGTTTCCAGCAAAATGGAAAGAGCAAAGAATGTATTTAGCCTGGAAACCAATAGGGAAGATTTCTAAAATCCTGAATCCTGAAAAATAACAAGGGTTCGCCTAATGCATGAGTGATTAAGGTATTGCAGGGTATAACGGTGCCTTGTAATGCTCAGTGCTGTGATGTCCCAAAGCTAGAGGTGGTAGTTTTAACAGACCCACTTTGGATTTAACAGATAAAAGAAATGGGCACTATGACTGAAGGTCAGCCTTTCTAGCTTCTAGGACTAAATTACTTCTCTGGGCAGAAAGAGCACATCAGCCCTGGCCAGTGTGGCTCAGTTGGTTGGCTGACATCCTATGCATCCACAGGTTGCCGGTTCCATTCCCAGTCAGGACACATGCCCAGGTTGTGGGCTCGATCCCCAGTAGGGGACGTGAAGGAGGCAGTCCATTGATGTTTAGTGCTCATAGCAATATTTTTCTTTCTCTCTCCCTCTCCCTTCCTTTCTCTCTAAACACCAATGCAACTATTTTTTTAAACGAGTACATCACATTTTTTAAAGATTTCTTCTGACTACTTTGTAGCCATCAGTTCCAAGAATAACATGTGAGAGGCACAGTCGTGTTCAGAAGGTGGGCAGCTGCAGTGCCTCTGTTGATCCTGCCAAAATGATCAGAACCATTGAAGTCATTTCAACTCTCTGTTCAGACTCCAGACAAGCAGAACCAACAGACTCTTCCGTCTGGAACTGACCGCCCTCCCTCTGTCTTTGAAACTGGAGGGCAGATCCCTCCTGGACAGGGCCTTCCTGCTCCCTCCCCTGCTCCCCTGCGCCAGCAGGCACCTCATGCATCCTCCTCCACTGCCCCGACTAGACTAGATCGAAGGCATCTGCGAGAGAGAGAGAGAGAGAGAGAGAGAGAGAGAGAGAGAGAGAGAGAGAGAGAGCGCGCGCGCGTGCGGGGGGCCTTAGGACCAGTGGAGAACAGCGCTTTCTCTATCCGGTGCTGGTGCCCATGCTTTCGTGTGTGTTAGGGACTGAATGTCTGTGTCCCCTCCAGGATTTGGTGCTGAAATCCTCATCGCTGATGCCATGGAATCAGGAGATGGGCCTCTGCAGACAATTAGGTCTCGAGGACAGAACTCTCATAAGTGGGATCAATGGTCTCCTAAGAGTTTCCGATTCAGTAAGTGTGAGGAAGGCCTGGGGTTGTGATATCTGGGCATTCCCAGGCGATGCTGCTGCTGACCTGGGGGCCCCCTGGGAGAACCCTGCCCCCGACAGCAGTGAGGAGCATGCTCAAATTCCAGCTCTCCCACTGGCCAGCTGTGTGCTTGTGGGCAAATCACTTCACTTCTCCAACCCTCAGTTTTCTCATCTGTGAAATGAGGACATTAATATGATCCAGCTCTAGAGTTATTATTAAGAATTAATGAATGAACATATTGTATTTTGGTACCTGGAATATAATCAGTGCTCAGTAAGTGCTTATAGATAACAAAGTTCAATGATACTTGTTATTGAGGATCCAGGTCACATGATCCTACCGCTGGTCGCACAATCACAATCATTTTAGATGAAACTGAGACTTGCCGTCGCTCCAAAGTGCCAGGCTGCGTTCAAACCAGCCTCATATATACATGTCCGAGACGGAATCAAATAAAAAGTAAATGTTACTTCAATTTACATCTTAACTTTCTCTCCTAAATGTGGACCCAGAAAAAACTGTGTCCTGGGAGAAAATGTCAATCCATTAAAATCAAATCTGACTTATAGGAAACAACATATTTCAAGTTGTTCTTGCTCATCAATTTGCTCATGTTTGCATCATGTCTTGCTGGGCCTTGGTAAATAACTCCTTGTCACAATATTTTTCTTAAAGATTTATGCAGATAATTTTACAAATTACTGGAAGACAACATATCAATATTTATAGCTTCCACAAAGTACTTAATAAATGAAAACTTTAGATAATATAATTTGAAATGTATTATAAATCATTAATTTTAATTTGAAAACGAAAATATATTATGCAATCCATTTTGGGAAAACAAAATAAGTCTAAATTAATCTCTGAAAAAGCTTTTAGACTTTCGTTTATTTTCATTTATCTGACTCAGTCCTACCCGTTTTTCTTTTCAGTAGTAATAGACAATTCTGGCTTTACTTCATCATTAGCAACTTAAATTAGTAAACTACACTGCATAAAACAAAGCTGTTATGTTTCATTTCCTAAGTCCCACGGCCGACAACCAGAAGAGAAATCTCGGGCAATCTCCTGGACTCCTAAACCAACTGCAGTGAATTATGAGGCAGGGGACAAAGTCCTGCACACATAGAAAGGTGGACACGCGGAATGGGGGAAGGAGGGTGAGTGACATTCATTGGGAGTCCCTCTGCTCCCCTCCCTGGCCCACCGGTGTGTTTGACGCTTTTATAAACAAGTGCTTCCTCCTGGAAGCTGCCGATAAGTGAGCTGAGGTGCAGAAACCCGGCTTTGCTAGCGAGAGGAATTTTGTAGTGAGACTTCTAGAATTTGAAAGAAAAAATGAGTTCTGCTTCCTTCTTGTGGCTATGGTCGTGTATCCGATAAACAGATGTTATTTAAAAGCAGACGTTCATCTGGCGACCAAACAAAAACCGCTCTCACTGGATGCGTGCAGCCTCTTACACTGAGTCTACCTTCCTCAGGGCGATGTTTAAAGGAGAAGTTTCTTTCCTAAGAAACTGCATGATCAGAGCTGTTCTCTGCAGCTGGGCCTTCACTTCTTCCACAGAGAGAGGGTGTGGGAGCTGAGGGGCTGGGTCTCTAAGACTCATCACGGGACTAAGGATTTATGAACCTATAAATACAGACGCCAACGCGAACAATTTAACTAGCTACATTTTGAAAAAGTCCAGTCCCAGCTGCAAAGAGCCCCAAGTTCTAACTCCAAATCTTCGAACCGACTGAGTGACGTGGGCAAATCACTCACTCGCACTCTCTGGGCCCTGCTTACCCCGCTGGTGGGATGATGGGGGTCAACTGGATGGCTCCCCACATCATCTCAGCCTCAAACCAAAGGCCTCCTCCGAAGCTCAGTTTCCTTCGCGAGTTTAAACACAATACGCTAGGGCACACTCTAGGATGCCCTAAATAAAATTTAAAATAGTCTCCTTATGTGTTAGTCTATGTTTAAGCAAGAATAAACTGTATAACAACCATTAAAGTTGTTTTTATTTAGGCACGATTGGGATGTTATATGTCGCCAGAGAGAAAATGCCATTTTAAACTCCTTGCTTCCTGCCTCTTCATTCTGAGTGACATGGACTCCTGCAGCCAGTCCCTCCCAGCAGAGGGGACGCAGACTCCCTCTGTCCGCCCCCACCTCAGAAGTCGTGGCTCCGCTGCAGAATGGGGGCCCCCAGGGAACCCCGTGGGTCCCAGGGAGCAGCTGCCGATGCCAAGGGCAGAGGCCACTGCTACTAGCTTTGCCCATTGCTATCTTTCGTACTTTCACTTCCCAGTAGCTTGCCTCTCAGAGTCCTGAACGTCCAGGGGGGGTTTGCTTTGGGACTGTTATTTTCTTAGCAGATTTCATTGAAAGTAATAGTGTACTATTACTTGGATTTTATATTCAAAGCACACATGAGCCCGTGCGTGGCTGGAGGGGGGGTTCTGAGAGATGGAGGCTCACATTTTACAAGCTTGAGTACCCATTTCAAGTATCACATTATTTTGCCATGTTAAAATGCAAATCTGGAAAATAGTCAAAAATGTATTTTCTGACACCTTAACCACACACTGGATGGACGAGGTTTTAGGACTCTCGCTAACACCTACTTACCCCAGCGTCTCTTCCGCTGCTCCCTACAGGCCTTGCAAGTTTCTAGCACCCGCAACGAGAAAAAACTGGGCAGCTTTGTTTTCTATTACTCATAAGAGGGACAGAAATAACCTAGACGATGAAAGCTACAGACTCTTTAGAAAGGATGCATCCCTCTGTCACCCTGTTCTGTCATCTTTCTCTGGCTGGACCTACAGGTGCTAAAATGACCCTACGCCTCAGCCGTCGCTGGAAGACAGGAAGGATCAAGTGTAGGCGGAGAGCCCACTCGGCCGGCTGTGTCAAACAGCATCACCACATAGACCTCAGAATGAAATTCTGCGTTCCTTCCTTTTAACCCAGAAAGAGGAAGGATCATCCTGA